GTATATATATATATATATATATATATTGTGAGATTGTGTATATAAGACACTGTTTTAAGACATTTACCACAAAAATGTTGCATAGTTAAGTTCTTGAAATGATGTGATTTCAGTTGTACATCATAGCAAATCTTTCAAGGTTTGTGACATTCAGGGTTGTGAAATAGATATTGTTTTGGTGTTGAAGCCCTTAGTGGACTTTGAGCTAGAGGCAACATATAAGCATCAGATAGTGTGGGGCACAGTTAAGGGTGAAAAACTTTGTTTAATATGTGGTTAAGTGTTAAGGCTAATTTTTACATGGGTGAATTTAAATTTTTAAATTTTTACTTTGACACTATGGATTCTTTAAACATCCAATGGAAAAAAAAAAGATATTGATACTCAACTGTGGCATAAATCTGGAAGTTACACGTGCCTCTCCTCCTGGTGTTTGCTCTGCTTTGAATTTCTAGCAGAGGCATTGCTAGGTGCTTAAAAGATTCAGGGCTCTGGCTCATAGTCTCAGGAATTTTTTGACATTTCAGTATGATATCAATCATAGTTTTCTATTCTGATTTTTTCAAGACACCAACTGGGGATTCAGGGCACTGTCAAATAGAATTGGGGCATGAACCTAATGAGCCAGTCGCTATTGATGCCTCTGGTTTCTAGCTATATACATAAAAAGAGGAAAAGTATATTGATCTAGTAAGAAACACTAACCAGCAGGACCAACATTTTCAAGTGTCTTTCTGGCAGTATAAGATTTTCAGAATATATTATACACATGGACTAACCTCTCTTACTAAGCATCTTAACTAATCTAAACTGGCTGTACATGTACACAACTTTGTTTATTCACTTTTTATCACAAGATATATGAAAAAGTTAGGTCCTACTATGTATAAGGTTTCTGTCAGTGGTTTTAGATAAGGATTCTTATCTCAGTCTTGAGATATTTTAAACATTTTGTTACTAAACACAGTGTGACCAAACATTGAACTCTCCTAAAAAATTGTTAAATATGATAAATAACTCCATGTGATACAGTTTAATTAACTATGTCACTGACACATTTAAAGGTAAACAAGTCTTCTAGTGCCAGAGTTATTCTTAGATACACAATAAAAACAAAACAAAAAACAAACATGTTTTAATATTTCATTACTTCTCCAAAACTTGAATCTTTAGAAAGTTTGAATCGGAATAAATACCCTTTCTTCATGGTGGTCCATAATTCCAAAATCACATAGCAGCAAAAGAGTTAATATAAAATAACATTGTATTAGATGATACATATCAGAGGTTACCAGCACAAATTATAACAGTGTTAAGATAAATTTCATATCAGAAAATATGTTATTAACATAGAAATTATTAGTGTTAAAAAAAAAGATGAGGTTTTTATTTGAAGTTATTCAACTATTTTTATAACCATTTTGTTACTTAGCTTGTGTATATCTCTACTGCTGAAGACATTTTCCAGTTTACCTAGTAGCGTTGTTCAGTATCCTATTAGTTAATGTAAATATTTATTGATTGTAATTTCTATTGCTATTATATGGCATGGCCAGGTGGTTAGGGTGCTCGACTTGCAATCTGAGGGTCGTGGGTTCGAAATCCCCGTCACACCAACATGCTCGCCCTTTCACCCGTGGGGGCATTATAATGTGACGGTCAATCCCACTATTTGTTGGT